ATATATATATATATATATTTATTTAAGCCTGAAACAGGGTTAACCCTGAACAGCTACAATGCATTTTCAGATGGCATTGTCTTAAATCATAGGTTTTGCTGTCTATAGAGCAAAAGTAGGGCATGAAACAGGCTTAACCCTGAACAGCTACAATGCATTTTCAGATGGCATTGTCTTAAATCATAGGTTTTGCTGTCTATAGAGCAAAAGTAGGAAGACATTCTCTCTGTTGATTTGTGGAATTTTTCAAATGTCAACCTTCCATGTTTTTCACCATTGACATCTTTCTCTAAATCTGTTCCATCCCCCTGGTGTACACCATGAATAAGATATTTACCTATAAAAAAGGCACTGCACAGAACTAATTTTACACTACTGAGTATATTTTAGTCATCAAAACCATGCAAAACATGGTCTTAATTTGAAGAACGATTTTTCCATGCTCCTATGGTAATTTCTTTTCTGCTTACGGCTCCAGGAAGGTACCTCTTAACCTCCTTTGACTACAATCTTTGAAAGCCTAATAAGAATGAGCCTTCTTGCCAGAATCTTACATAAAATTTTCATAGACCCCTGAAGCTCAACCACAGCCTCTAAGTGAAGAATCTTCTTTGGACTTGGGCTAATAATATAATATTCAATACCTTAGCTATTGCCTCTGTCCATTTTCTTTGAGCCTGAGATGTTTCAGCTCCAAATAAAAACACACGCTCAGAGGGTAAGTAAATCTCAAAGATAAAGATGGGCCTGCAGCATGCAAATGGAAAGACACCACCAGTTATTCTCACAAAAGCAACATACAAGTCCACATTTCAATTAAACTTTTTAAAAATGGTATAATGCTACGAAATCAACTTCTCCAATCATTCTCTTGATAGTCTGTATTTTATTCAAATGAGCTACATGGAGCACACTGGCACTGTGAGAGAACAGGTTTCTGAATACTCAGTCACTCCATGGCATTTCTAGGTGGAGGCTCTAGACATTCACCAGGGCTGTCTCCCCCCCCCCCATCTCTTCTCTCTCGGACCACTCCTTTCCGATTTACTCTGACCAGTTGTTCAAAGCAAAAATTAACCAACAACCCTCAGGCCTCTTAGCATCACAAATTTTCCTTCTATCATCTCATTAGATCTGTAAATTCCACCTCTTTACTACAGATAAGTTGACTAATACCCCATGTCCTGAATTCACCTCGGAGTTCCTCAACCACAGTTCAGCTTTTTCTTAGAACATGCCAAGTGTCTGTGCTACTATTATCTAAATATCTCAAACCACCCTGTACTCAAAGTCATCTCATGCCTTACCATTTTTTTTAACTTCAAACTTACTGAAGTTAAAAATTTAGATGCATCAGTGTCTACCTCAACAAGCTCAAAACTCAAGAGCGTAACTTCCCTTAACATCAACTCTTCTCATCCTTTTCATCTTAGCAGTTCAACTGTAAGATTGTGTCAACCTACTGATTCTTTTCTGTTTTAATTATCTCTTCCTGGAGTTGAACTCCACAATCATGATCTCTCTTCATCAAATCTCTTCCTTACCACTTATTCCAGCTCTCTACCTAAAGTTAAAATCTACATAACTCCCCAGTACTGACATTACTAAGTTCATATTCTACAAAACGCTATTTAGGGCATTGGAATGTGGCTGAAACTTTTTTTTTTTTTTTTTTAATTTTCTGCTATAGGGCATGTGCACTTGCCAGAGAGATGGGAGGGAGGGGGCGATACTGAGAAATCAACCCCTATAGAAGATGGACATGTTGCAATCTCTTCTCTTCCACTTTCCTCTCAGGATTTTGGACATGTATACAAACACACCCAGGTTGATTTTCAAGCCAATAGTCCAGGAATCCAACCAAGAAGTTGGCCATGTGGGATCCAGTGCCTCAACCCTCAACCTCCATGCCACCTGCTGGCCCTGGCTTCGACAAGTATTTTTAACCTCATCTCTCACCATAAATTTTCTTACACGTTGCCTCAGATTAGTAACGATTTTTCAAGAGTGCTTCATCTTTGAATGTTCATGTGTTGACATGAGCTAGTAAAAATTATCTTAAATTATATTTCATTAGTCAATTAAGCAACTTAACATACACAGTATGGTTCATTTTAATATCCCATGGTAAACCACATTAAACTGATTACTCATTTAGAATAAGAGCAATATTAAGATTAAAACAATCATAAAAAATCTAACAATCAGTTTTGTTTGCATCAAAATTCAAATTAGATTTATTAGAAAACATGAGTTATCTTGAAAAGCACATAGTAATCATGATGTAATAATGGTAAAATGCCTTGTGTATAGTCCCCATTATCTGTTGGGAATACATTCCAGGGCCCCTGAGGGATTGCAGAAAACATGGATGGTATCAAACCCTATATATTTTTTTCTTCCTATATATGCAAACTTATGATCAAATTTAGCTTATAAATTGGCATATTGAGAGACTAATAGTAACTGATAATAAAATAGCAAAAAAGTTATATTATAATGAAAGTTTTGTGAATATGGTCTCTCTTATTCAAAAGATCTTACTGTATTACTGTGTTCAACTAATTTTAGACCGTGGTTGACCACTAGTAACCAAAACCACAAAAAGCAAAAGGGACAAGGATGGACTACTACAATTTTCTGTAAATAACAGATTTGCAAATGTCTTCTCTTTCTCATTTAAAAATCTTATTAAAATGCTAAGATCTATAAAACTTATTTTGTTCAGATTTTAATACTTACACTTCTCATTCATTTTTCTACAAAGAAAGTCTAAGAAGCATCAACACCAAAACTCTTAGATGGTCTGTTTTTAAAGTCCTCAGAAGAATTTCTTCCAACTATTATGTGATTTAAATATATTACACAAATAATGTACAAACTTTTCATTTCCACTTTTTTTCAGGCTACTGAAATGGTCCCTTCTTTAAGAAATTTAGCATGTCAGTATGTTACTAAAGATACTTTGTATGTGTATTCTAACATAAACAAGTCATCACTAAATGTTCTCTTTCCTCATTTATTTTTAACCATGATACTCTTTAAATGAATGCATAAATTTTGCCACTAGGCCACTATTTTAAATAATAAATAAATTGTGAAAATTAAAGTGCTCAATTGTCAAGACTGGAATGCCATAAATGTACTTAGGATTTGATATGCAAACCAGCAGATAGCATAATGGTTATGTCACTGAACTCCCATGTAGTTGACTGTGGTTTGAATCCCGGACCTGGTGGCTTGAAACTCACTCCAGGTGCATGTGCATGCATGCCCAAAATTCCGAGAGGAGAATGGAGGAGAAGGTATTGTGGCATGGCCATCCCACCTAGAGGAGGTGATTTCTTGCTTTCTATCACTCTCTGTTTCTGACAAACACATGTGCCCTATAGGAAAAATCTTTCCCCCCCTCTCCACCCCCCAAAAAAAAGATTTGATGTAAACACATTAGCTTTTTATATTACTTTATAATATTTTAATTAACATGTCTTCAGTGGATTCCCAAAGGGACATTCAGAAGAGTAAAGAACCCATTAAACTTATTAAACTTTTCTACAATAGGCAACTAAAGAACTAAAATGTCAACAAAACTCTTATTACTTGCTATGATAAGTGATTAAAAAATATTTTTAGCTCCTGTTTAATACAAGACCTACCCAGTATTTAAATAGAAGTCCTCTTTGTGTATAGCCAGGCAGATAACTTCGTTGATGTTAATAGTGCCGTTAGGTGTGGTAGACTTATCATTTTCATAATAACTCAAGAAGCCTCCTTCCAAAACACACCATTTTTTATTTGTCTCTATGAATTTAAAACAAAACCAATAAATTGAGTAATATCACAAATCTAATAAAACATAAATGATTTAAAATAATGGCTAGATGAAATAAATAGATTTAATAATTTTCAATTTTGTATAAAGCACATACTAAAGCTGTCGCATACTCTGCTTCCAATTTATGACTGAATACAAAGAGAGTAAACAATGAAAGGATTGGGACCCTGATAACCAGAGAACCAGAGAGCCACAAAGAAGTTGCTGCACAGTAAAGCTGAAACTCCAAAGACTGATGACTGTACAGAGTATTAGGAGGGAAGAAAGCAAGGTTCAAAATGAGACTGAACTACTGGGAAGTAGGTAGGTAGGTAAAGGAAGAAGAGTCAGAACCTGCAGCATCCTCCATGCTTTGTGAAGGAAATTTAAATGCAACTTACACAGCGTTCAGCATACCCTGGTCTATAGGACAGAGCAAACCATCACTTGCCTTTATAAATAAAGTTTTATTGAAACAGAGCCACATCTGTTCATGCATGGATTTCTGTGGGGTTTTGCTAAATGAGCAGAAATGGGTTGCAGAAAAGACCACCTGACAACGCCTAAGATATTTACCATTGTACTCTTTTTAACACGTTTATTATCTTTGATTTTGTAGGTGATGAACAACTGAGCAACTGAAATGATTTCAGCAGTGGAATATAATCAGATTCAAGTTTTACGCACCCTGCTTATTGTAAAAAATTGATCTGAGTGAATGAGAAGAGAGGCAGGGACATAGGGCACTGTTGACAAAAGTTTAAGCGAGGGATGAAGAAGGTCAAAAGCAGGACAGTGATACTAGGGGAGGCGACATCATGTCTACAACCTACCTTTAAGTTTCTGAAAATAAATACATACATATACACTCACACTCACCCACAGCAGTACAGACAGACACATACACACACGCATAATGTGTGAGTGTGTATATATATACACATATACAGAAAGAATAACAATAAGGTGGACATAAAATGTTCATGTTTGAGATTATTTGAGTAAAAGGTAAATGGGAATTCTTTGCATTGTTCTTGCAATTCATCTATAAATTTCAGACTGTGTCAAAATAAATAAAAGTATAAAGTTACAAGAAAAGAAATGATTAAATATTTCCTTACACTTTGCCATGTCATTAAAATCTTAGGTGGTGATGCTATTTAGAAGCAGGAGAAAAGAAACAAGATGATGTATTTGGTCTCAAAAAGCAATCACTAGGAGAAACACTTAACAGGTAGAAATGCTGAGCAGTGGAAGAGTGTTATACTCCGAAACACCGATTGTCAAATGGAAAGTCAAATTGTGAGTGGCAGAAACAAACAATACAAAGAAATTCTTTTATGGGAACTGGAAAGAAAAGCTAACAGAGTCCCAGCGAATTCCTAGTGGAAGGTGATGTATTATTCCAGGGCTCTCAAATCCTCAGTCACAGAGGATACTGTGCAGCTACATGAACATCATGACAGGTCGTAATTTTTAAATGAATACTCACTACTGAGTTCTAACACATAAGAAAAGAAACAGTCAAATTGCTAATCAAATAGAGTTATGAAATACTTTAAGAACAAGGTACTCAGATAACTTGAATAATCTTCCTAAGAGATTATAGCAAAAAACAAAAAATAAATTAAACAATTATTCAGTACACAGGTAATTACTGGCACAGATTAGGATTCCACTCCTGTTTGTAGGCAGACTGTAATCCAATGCACAGGAGATGCATTCTGAAGGATAACCAGCAGGTAGTCTTTTGTAAGGGGGCTAGAAGTATTCAAAAGGTAAAGCCCACTTCAGACTAGATTGATAGGAAAAAATGTCAGAGAAAAATGCAAACTTAAAATAGTACTTTCTGACTGAGGAGGCGTATTTCTAAAGTAGAAACTTAAAAAAAGAAATAGAAATAATAAGGGCATGGAGAGCTACCATCACTCCACGATTCTAGCAAAAAATAGTGTGAGGGAAGTCATGAGCAGGGAAAAGCTACAGAAATCCTAATTGGCCCAAGAATCCAATTGCATCTAAAGTTAAGAAATGGGAAATAAGACCAAGTTTATGGCAGAGGCTGGGCCCCAAGAGTCTTACAGGACAGGTGTTCAAGAGTTGGTACCTCGCTCAGTAGACAAATGGGAGCCATCTGAAGGTCTTCAACAAACAGTGCCAAATGAACGATGCATAAAATCAATGCGAAGACAGAATCTAATTACGCAAATTCGAATGGGAAACAAATGACACAACCCTTCACAATATTGTGCACAAATGCAATTTCAGTGAGAAATATGGGCTTGCAGAGATTTAGTTCTGTACTATTGTCATTTCTATAACCATTTATTAGTTTTATCTTTGTAAGCGAAACGGGCCAGAGGTCAGACAAGGCAGGGGCAGTTATGACTTCTGAAGACTTGCATAACAATGCTGTGATACAAAACCTTGATATTCCTATTGATTTGGAAAGCAATGAGAAGCTTTAGCAAAGTTATGCTGGGTGATATAGGTCTACTTAGACCAGTTGAGACATGCACTTTGGGCTGACTTTGAGAAATGGCAACCGTTCCACAAGACCCACTCTGCTGTGGAAGTTTTACTGCTCAACAGTTACTAGAAGACAGTCACCAAAATAAACTTGGGACCACAGAAAGAGTAACTCTCAAGACTCAGCTGTTCCGTACACAGGCGTTTGTGCATTAGGTGTGAGTAAAGTGAGTGGAGTGGAGCGGCCAGTGGAGTTATTCATTTTATACCACCTTGATGTTTAGATCAGGGAAGAAACACGTGACAGTGGGATTTACCCATGCGCAGGTAAAGAACCCCAGAGGTGACCTATTTAAGTATTACAGGATGATGTAGATATCACAGTTACATAATTTTATTGTTAGCTACAGCCAAAAGGATACAAGGGTTAAACTCAAAGGCTAACTAGAGCAGCTGTGTTCAAGTGGAAGCCCTTCACGGCTCCTCCTCCTCAACTCCCCCACATCCTATTTATGTGCTGGGTACATGCGACAGCTCACTGAGTACTCAGAACATTAGGTCTCTTCTACTGTTTCTCTTCCTGTGCCCTTTCTATAGGCATGTAACTATTGGGTTGTTGGAAAAATCATGAGGTATTTTTTTCAGTTTTCTATGCAAAAATAATGCCGTGATTTTTCCAAAACATCAAAAATTAACTTTCCCAGGGTCACGCAAGTACATAACATCTGAGCTGAGACAGAACTCAAGCAGTGGATTTTGAAAGCTACCTTCTGTTTTCTTTCTTTCTTCCCCCTCCCCTTTTTTTAAGCTGTTTTGCCATAGGCATGGGCACTCACCAGAGAGAGAGAGAGAGACAGAAGGAAAGTCAGAATCACCTCCCAGGGCAGATGGCCATGCCACAATCCTTTCCCCTCTATTTTCCGCTCAGGATTCTGAGCATGTTACCAGCTCGATTTTCAAGCCACTGGCAATGGAACTTGAACCATGGAACTGGCCAAGTGGGATTCAGCAACTTAACCACCAAGCCACCTGCTGGTCCTGGAAGCTACCTTCTTAACAACTGCACATACATACTGCTTCTCTGTGCCTATTACAGATTTGAGGTTTTTTTTTTTTTTTTTTGGAGAGGTTTTTGCTATAGGGTGCATGTGCTCGCCAGAAAGACAGAGAAACAAAGAGACAGAAAGCAAGAAATCACTCCCCAGGGGGGATGGTCATGCTGCAATCCCTTCTCCTCCATTCTCCTCTTGGGATCTTGGGCACGCATGAAAATGTGCCCGGCGTGAGTTTTAAGACACCGGATTCGGGACACGAACGGCAGTCGACTACGTGGGAGTCCAGAGACATAGCCATTACGCTAACTGCTGGTTCCCTATGTATCTTTTATTTTTAGATTTATATTATTAATTTGTTACATGGATATATGATCACGAGAGAGAGAGAGAGAGAACAAGCTACCAGTTTCAGGACTTGAACCATGGTCAGCCATGCGAGAGTCCAACAGCTGGTCCCTATATGTGTCTATTTTTAAAAATGTAATAGGAGCTGGGTGATGGTGCAGCAGGGATGTGCTACTCAAACAAAGCTGGATCCACACATGGATCCTGGTCCACTTGTACTTGTCAGGAGTATGCCCATGACTCTCGCTGGTGAGAGAAAGCTGGAAGAGTGAGGAAGGACAGATCATGACATGAAACACTGTTGAGGGTGAGTCTCTCTTTCTTTCTATCCTCTCTCATTCCCAAGAAATAAAGAAACTTTCATTTAAAAAAAAAAAAGTTTTATAAACCTACTAGGGTAGAGAAAATGTGATACCTTCTAACATTTATATATGTAATAAATCTCAGATGATTAAGAAAAAAAAAAAAAAAACCAGTGGGGCCAGTGGGTGGTGAAGTCCTTAAAGTACTGGACTTCCACAGGGCCAACTGCAGTTTGAGTCCTGGACCTGGTGGCCTGAAACTCACACCAGGTATATGTGCATGAGTATCCAAAATCCCAAGAGGAGAATAAAGGAGAAGGGAGTGTGGTATGCCAACCCCACTGGGGGGCGATTTCTCACCTTTTCTCTCTGTCTCTCTCTCTCTCCAGAGAGTGCATGTAACCTAATAGTTTTCAAAACCATGAAGGGGGCCAGCAGATGGTGTGGAGGTTATGGCAATGGATCCCACATGGTCAGAGACAAAGAGCAAGACCTAGAAATGGAGATTTGAAAACCACACTAGGTTGCATGCCCCAAATCCCAGGAGAAGAATGGAGAAGGGACTGCAGCATGGCCATCCCTCGTGGGGAATGATTTCTCCCTTTTCCTCTCTCTCTCTGTCTCTGTCCAGTGAGTGCATGTGCACTGTGACCAAAATATTTTTTAAAATAAATACAAAATTATGGTGTTTCCTGATAAAGAATTTCCTAAACTGAAAACATTCAACATCCACTGAAAACAGAAACACACATTAGGAATCCTTCTTATTTAAAATAAATGTTTTAGCTTTGGAAAAACATTTCAAAATAATTAAACCGAGGCTTTCATAGAGCAAAAGACCTTAAAAATTCCTCCATGTTAGTTTATAAAATTAAATATGAACAGACCAACACAGAGTTTCTAGAAAACCGTATCACCCACTTTCTTTTCAAACGCAAACACTGTGTAAGCAAATCCAGGTAGGTTACTGAGAGAAAAAAAAACCACATGGTTTAGAAAATAGAAAAAAATAAAAATAAAACCCAGGATGCTATTATTCAGCTTTGTACTTAGAATTTGAACAAGAGCTATCAATCTTCCTTTCTGTGAGCACTAAATTGAAAAGAAAAAAAAAAAAAAGGAAAAACACAGATCAGTCTTCATAACCAGAGGCTAGAAGAACTTCCAGTCCTGAAAGCTTGAACTGACTGTGAAGCCTCTGTAACTGTTTGAAGGACTCACACATTATTATTCCCAGACTTTTGCCTTTGTTTTTCATCTTTCTGCTCCATGGCTACCCTGACAAGTCGAGTCCAAGTGCTTGCCTTTCAGAGCAAAGGTGGCACCACACTTTAATCTCTAAATCTTTCCAAATGATTCATTCCCCTCCCCCCATAATGCTTGTCCTCAACAGCAATACCACCAGTGCAACATATTTAGGGGAAGGAAAAAAAGGAAAAAAAAAAACATCCAAACTCTATGTCTCTTGAGAATTCACCACCTTCATCTTGGTGAGTAGACTTCTGAACAAAATATGCTTTGTGCCACCAATGATATCTTTTTATACACATTTAAAAAAATTAACATGTGACTTGCACTTTTTTATGCTGGTAGTAATGTGCTTAAAGAAATTCATTCCTCCAGAACTATTGAAGTAGACTTCTATTAAGGTGCTTAAAGATAACTCACTCCTTCCACAACTATTGAAGGAGACCTCTATTTTGAACTCCTGTCTAAATTGGAAACTTGCTTTTTTCTTTTGCCTAGAGTAAACAGAGTGATCAACACCCCTGCTGTCTTTGCTAGATAACCAGAAACTCCCTACCCAAAGATGTTCTTTAGTGATATAATCGCCAGGCCCCTTGCCCTGAGCCATGAATCATGACCATTAAGATTCCATTGTGTTTAGGTAGGGATGAAACATCCCCTTAGGGATGATTAGCCTGCTTGTTCTGCTTCTGTAATGGGCTTTTGCTTTTACAATGTAAAACCCTACCCCCTACTGTTCCAAGTCCACCCACCTTGTCCTTGTAAATCTTCATGTCATCCTAGAAAAGATTGTGACTTTTTGGCCTTTATCAGCTCCCTTCTCCTTTCACATGGGGTTGAGGGGTTTTGAGAGACATGAGTCCCCCTGCATGCTGCGGGCTTAATCAATAAACACTAATGAACTTGACTGCGTCTGGATGTCCTCTTATTTCTCGCTGATTAGACTATACCACTATCACATAGCTACTATGTGTCAATACTATTTTAGGCACCAAAAACTTAATGCTGATGCCCATAGAGATTTCACTCCAGGAGGAGAAAGAATCGAATGGGCTTGTGTCAGTGGCTCTGTTGGTGGCAACTGGGACTGCAGAGCTGGAAACTACATGGCTGGCTACAGAGTTCAGGTCCCCAGTCAGCCTGAAAACACACCAAGTGTATGTGTGCATGCCCAAAGATACTGGTAGCTTCGAGAGCTGGAGGGCTGGGAAAAGGGGATTGTGGTGTGATGAGAACCCATCAAGGATGTTTCTCCTGCACTGCCTGCCCTCTGCCCCCATGCCCTGGTCCCAAGCATTCATACATATTCTCTATGAACAAACAAACAAACAAGCTTATAAAAATAAAATAAAATAAGGCCAGTTAATGGCATGGTGGTTAAGGTGGTTGGATCCCACACAGTCAACTATGAGTTTGAGTCCTGGAACCAGAAGCCTGGGAAAACATGCTGGGCACATGTGTATGCATGCTCAAAATTACAAAAGAAGGACAGATAGAGAAGGGATTGAGATGTGACCATTCCCATGAGGGGTGCTTTCTCTCTCTCTCTGTCTCTGTCTCTGTCTTGTGAGCACACATACTCTCTGGCAAATTGATTGAAGGAAGGAAAGGAGGGATGGAGGGAGGGATCGATCATGTGGTGAGTGCTACAATGGTAATCTGTAGCATCTTATGAAAGAAGAGCTGACAGTTCCATCTGGAGTACCTTCAATAAGGTGCCAAAGAGGCCTGAGTGACTGCGTGACGCTGAACTGATTGATACTCGGAAGGTAAGAAACAGCTAGAACGAGAGAACTGTCCTGCTGACAGAGTCAACAGCACCTGCAAAGGTCCAGGAGGGAGAGGAGAGGAAGTGGCATCTGAGCACAGGGAGGAGGACAGGAGATGAAGGGAGAGAAGGACATGACAAGGTCTTTCAGAAATAGGGAAGACCGCTGCATTCTGGAATAGGCCACTGAATGTTCGTAACCAACAGAGGGACATGATCTCATTTGCATTTTGTAAGATAATGAAGCCTGTACTTTTGGAGGAAGGTTTAGAGGGAAGCTAGCGCAGATGTAGGGAAGAATGTGATAGAGACAGGCTCCAGGATGTCAGCTGAGATAGAGAGCAGCCAGCCGACTGGAAATCTGTTCTCACCGTGAAATGATACAACTTGCTAATCAATTGAACAGAACTTGCTTATGCATGAATGAAACATCTTGCCAGGAGATTATTTTCAAATAAAATCATTTCTGTTGCGATGGTTGTAGAGCCAAAACACTAAAGCTCACACACATTACTTAAAAAGCAATGCTTTAAAATGGGGGGGAAGTTCCCAATTAAATTACATTTGATAGAGAAAATGCATCTGTTTGTTTTTGGAATAAGTTTAAACCAAGAGATCCATAATCTATAATGAAAGGAAAAGAATGATTTTAACTATAACAGCTCATAAGATCAATTAGTACTCAAGTAATTGTTTTTTAAAGTTATTTTAATTAAAATATTAAGAAGAACCAGTAAGCTCATGGATAATGTAATCACAATTGTCAAAAATAAATAAGAGCTTATTTTTAGCCTATGGAATGTTTATAATGTATTAAAAATCTTTAGGAAGAAAATCTTGCACTTCTAATTCCTTACTTGATCTTCGTATAAGTGAGGTGGCTTGAATGAGTCTAATATCTCCTGATATTTAGAAGACATAGTCTAAAAAGGTTTGCACTTGTACAAGTCTATTAATTGCTTCATTCAATTATTTGAATAATTGTTACTGGCAATTCAGAAGTTACCCAAGTACTGTTACTCTCCTGAGAGATTACCTGTGACTCCTTGAAGGTTAAATAGTCAATAATGATTAAAAATTGGCCTAATGTCTACTCTCTTGCAGGCTGTTTATGAGAATTGCAATTAAGGCATGTCAGCAGATAAAGGAATGCCTTACACATACTACATGCTCACTAGAGAGCTGCCGCTCATTTTAGGAAAATTTAACATAGTTAATCCCAACAAGATTTTGCCTTAGGATATCATTTATTGTGAAAATCATTTATGCTGAAACAATCACTTCAAAGAAGTATCAGGATTAACATCCTAAAGTGAGTTTTTCATCCTATTATCTGTTCTATGGAGTAATACAGCGGAATTATGCCCCCTAGGAAATTAATACTGGACTCTGGAGCCAATCAATTGTCTCCCATCAGTTGGCCTGTATGACTTAATCTCTCTTTGTTCTAGTAAGATATGTTTCACTATAGTTTCCTACCTATATCGCTCAAATTATTTTGGCTGTATTTGACAAGAGCCTGAAGTCTATATATCGTCCTTTTTTTTTTTTTTTCAAATTCTCAATGCCTAAATAAGCCTGACACACGGAGCTGGATGGATACATGACCCTGTGTGATTCTTCTCAGGTAATTTCCCCAAAGCTAGAACACACTGTTGATCCAATCAACACACTTCCTCATTTTGAAACCAAGCTTCAGTTTTATTTAAACACACACAGGTACTTCTAATATGGACAATCTGAACTACCTCGTATCACTTAATTCCGTAACAGAATTTATGCTGCGAACTTGCCAATCTGTCTTATGTGTTCACATTGATCTGTATTATCTCACAAGCTGGGTGTCTGCACCTCAGGGGAGACGCTGAGTTTCCTGACCTTTTGGAATAACCCTTAACATGTGACATTGAGTCGGTTGGCCATAAAGTAAACATCAGTGAATTAATTCTGCAGAGAATTTGCTCAGCCTCCAGCCCAGAAGTAAATCTCTACTCCAGTTCATGAACTAATACGTGTGCCTGAAAGCATTTGTAAATCCTCAAAAAAGATCTCTCTATTGCAAGGAGACATCTGAAGGAAAAAAAATCAAAATGTAAACCTCATTGTTTTGATAAAGGAGTAAGGTTTTATCAGGTAACACAATCTAAAAGGAGCAGAAACGGTACCTTCCAGCAGTTTTTTCTCTGAAGAGAGTTTAGAAGCAGCAGCAGGAGCTTGATACAAAAAGTCACAGAGGAAGGTGGACTGGCAAGAGTCCTGACTTAATCCACCCTCTGAGTGAACATCATGTTGAGGGAAATCTAGAAAAAGTAAAGAAATAGTATGTTTAAGATCTAAAATATAAACAATGCTCCTCCCTGTGTCTGGAGCTATATGAAAACGTACTTCTAATTGACCCCAGAATATATGTGGTCATAAATACAGTTAAATACAGTTATTTTACCTCACATACAATTTATACAAAGGCACTTCAGTCAGGATTACATAAAAATTGGACTTAATTTTGATGGAATTCACTATGTGAGATTAACTATTTTGTTCTTCCAATTATAAGGTTAGGGAAATAGGGCCAGACCTATTGTGGTGGTTAAGGTGCTGAATTCCACGTGGTCAACCCCATGGTTATAGTCCCAGACTCATTAGCTCAGTCAAACGCCAGATGCATGTGTGTGCATGCTCAAAATTCTGAAAGGAGGGGCAGATGAAGGTGAAGGGATTCTGGAAAGATCATTCCCCAGTAAGGGCTCTCTCTGTCATTCTCTGGTGAGCAAATGTGCCCTCTAGCAAAATTTTTTTAAAAAAAATCAATTTTCTGAACTTTTTTCTTGAAATGATAGTCTTAAGCATTTTCCATTTTTTTTGGTAATTCTATCTTTCTTCTTTCTGACAGCTTTTCGTATTGCAGAAATAAACAGATTTGCATTTGAGTCCTTTTGGAAACATCTCAGAAGAGACCAGTTTAAGGAAAGGATAGTGACTTACCTGAGAATTTGTTATGGTAGAGAAACTCCATTTGGAGACTCTGCCCAGCCTTCTTGGCCAGCAGATAGGGGGTGCTATGGATGGGGTCTCCAGTCGCACACATGACATCCGCTCCACTAAACAGCAAAGCCATGGTTTCCAGAACATCTGGTTTCACTACAGCGGCACACAGAGCCTGGTCATTAAAAACATACATACTTTTGAAAAAGGAAGAAAGTTAAATACAGTTATTTTACCTCACATACAATTTATACAAAGGCACTTCAGTCAGGATTACATAAAAATTGGACTTAATTTTGATGGAATTCACTATGTGAGATTAACTATTTTGTTCTTCCAATTATAAGGTTAGGGAAATAGGGCCAGACCTATTGTGGTGGTTAAGGTGCTGAATTCCACGTGGTCAACCCCATGGTTATAGTCCCAGACTCATTAGCTCAGTCAAACGCCAGATGCATGTGTGTGCATGCTCAAAATTCTGAAAGGAGGGGCAGATGAAGGTGAAGGGATTCTGGAAAGATCATTCCCCAGTAAGGGCTCTCTCTGTCATTCTCTGGTGAGCAAATGTGCCCTCTAGCAAAATTTTTTTAAAAAAAATCAATTTTCTGAACTTTTTTCTTGAAATGATAGTCTTAAGCATTTTCCATTTTTTTTGGTAATTCTATCTTTCTTCTTTCTGACAGCTTTTCGTATTGCAGAAATAAACAGATTTGCATTTGAGTCCTTTTGGAAACATCTCAGAAGAGACCAGTTTAAGGAAAGGATAGTGACTTACCTGAGAATTTGTTATGGTAGAGAAACTCCATTTGGAGACTCTGCCCAGCCTTCTTGGCCAGCAGATAGGGGGTGCTATGGATGGGGTCTCCAGTCGCACACATGACATCCGCTCCACTAAACAGCAAAGCCATGGTTTCCAGAACATCTGGTTTCACTACAGCGGCACACAGAGCCTGGTCATTAAAAACATACATACTTTTGAAAAAGGAAGAAAATGTGATTCTAGCTATTACAATGAGTGAAAATAGGACAATTCATTTACACTATGAAATAAAGTTATATTCCTTTTTTCCTAATAAGGCCATAAATAATTATGCCCTGAATTCTGAATTGGGCAATATACATAAAAGACTTGCTTCATATGGATTTAAATGACAGCCAGAGACCTTCACGTCTCCATTCTCTGTCTTGGCGCTGTGACATTCATTCCAGACCAGTGGAATTTGCATTGGAAGACATGTGTATGCTTACACACTATAATAATGGCTGATGTTGAGAAAATTCAAAACATGTCGATGTAATAATGAAGTATTCACTGAATGTTCTGTCATATAATTGTTAATACATTTTTTTTTCCACCAGGAACTGTTGACTATTTAACTTACTGTGCTTAGAAACTGTGAAAGAGGAATATGAGGCAAATTTAGGATCTTTTCTTTTAGGAACAGAAATGGGAGGGGGAAAAGAAGAGGAGAAGGAGGCAGTAAAACAGCTCTGCTTCCTTCCGCTCTCCATCATCCCCACACAAACAACAAAACTACAATAATCTAGTTTTCGTTTTGCCTTGAAGGAATGAACTGCCTTATCATCTATTCTCACCTGTTCATTCCACTTTATGTCAGTCGTCAGACCGCACTTCAATGGGTTCCCATTGGTTTCCCAATGCTCCGACTACAGCGCCCTGACTCCATCTGGCGTTTTAGCCCCAAGCTCAGCACTTTACCCCTTCCTGACAAGGTGCATCTAGACAGATCACTACTTAACGCACCCCCGGGGACGCAGCCTCCGGACAAGTGTCATCAGCTGTCCCCTAAGTGGCTCTGAGCATATAGCCAAGAAGGCCCAAGACATACTCAAAGTTCCTGCTCTGGAGGCTCAACTACTTAAAAAGTATTCATCTTTTCAACATTGATCTCTAGAATGCCCAGCTCAGAATCAAGAAGTCTGAATTCTTTTTTTTTCTTTTTTTTTTTTTTTTTTTGAAGAGGTTTTTTGTTTGATTGATTGATTGTTTGGTTGATTGATTTTTGCTATAGGGCGCGTGCACTCGCCAGAAAGATAGAGAAAGACAGAGAAACAGAAAGTGAGAAATCACCCCCCAGGGGGGATGGCCACACCACAATCCCTTCTCCTTGATTCTCCTCTCGGGATCTTGGGCATGCACACACATGCGCCCGGCGTGAGTTTAAGCCACCTAGTTCAGGATTCAAACTGCAGTCGACTACATGGGAGTCCAGCGACATAGCCATTACGCTAACTGCTGGTCCCAGAAATTGAATTCTTACTGGACTTTGTGCAAATAACAGACCAAATTGAGATTAACCTAATATTTTTTGCAGATAAGTTAGTTTATACCTCAATTTAGTAAAAGAAGGAATGGAGAGAGAAAAAAAGTGTTTCAGAAGAAAATTACAGTGTACTTGTCACTAGATTCTAGCTTTGTTCATATTTTTAGTTTAAGATATTTTGTGAATCAATAAAATGTAAAAAAAATAGTTTACTATGGAAGGGAGGAGGGGGAAGGGGGGTCCAGCGAGCGACATAGCCATTATGCCAACTGCTGTTGCCAAGAAGTCTGAATTCTTACACCTGACTTTTTCCTAATTTGCTAGGTTGTCTTGGGCACCCTCTCCACTTTGGATCTTATTTTTTTATTGCCTATAAAATAAAAGTGATTAAAAAAACGTAACAAGTACCATTACTTTTACCCTATTAGTCTGACACCGCCACCCCAATTTAATCACATGTATTTTCTCTTATTCGCTCTCTTATCACCCTGTTCTTTACCTTCACAGCACACTAAGTTTGAGTTTATACATTTACTGGAGTCCAGCAGTCTGTGCTCAGTCTCCACTAGCTGAGTCTAATTAAAGAAGTACATCTACTTTTTAATCACAAGTGTAGTTCCAGAACCTAAAAGAGAATTCAGCAATTGGCAAATCTAAAATAAATGTTCAATAAACTATGGTTTGGTTTGGTTTTTGTAAAAATTCTTCACTGACAACAAGAAGCCACTATAAAAAAAAAAGTCCAAAGTGGACTTAAGTTCAAACAGTAAACTTCTGTAAAATATTTAGGAGAAATTGGGGTGTGCCAGACAAGGCCTCACTTGCAAATATCAATAACTACCCACTGGGGCCAGCAGGTGGCATGGTGGTACAGATGCTAGACTCCCACGTGGCTGACTATGGTTCGAGTACCAGGCCTGGTGGCTTGCTTTCTCACTTTCTCTCATTTTCTCTCTCTCTCTCACATAAGTGCTCTGTAGCAAATCAAAAATAACAATAATGATAAATAAAAATTAAATCTTAAAAAATAAAATAACTACCCTCATTACATCAAAAGGAGAGCTCACCTGGGACCAGCAGTTGGCATAATGACTATGTCGCTGGACTCCCACATAGTTGACCGTGGTTTGAGTCCCGGACCTGGTAGCTTAAACTCACGCCGGGCACGTGTGCGTGCGTGCCCGAGATACCGAGAGGAGAATGGAGGAGAAGGGATTGCGGCGTGGCCATCCCCCATGTGGGGTGGGTGATGTTTCGCATTCTGTCTCTCTGTCTCTCTCTGTCTTTCTGGTGAGCACACGCTCCCTATAGCAAAAACCTCTCCAAAAAAAGAAAGAAAAGAAAAAACAAAGGAGAGCTCACCAATGACCTTCCCAAATCCACAATGTACTCTTTACACACATATTCTATGGACCTCTGATATACAGAATTAGATAAAGCATAATCTAGGTTTCAGATACCCTCTTATTACTCTAAGACTATTTGGAATATTGGCCTATTAATTTAATAATACAGTTAGAACCATGAGAACTCTATCCCCAGCAAAATTAACTATCACAATGAAACCTACATATAACTGTATGGTTCCCTACGTCTTGTCTGGTCCCCAGAAAATCCCTCACCTAAACATCCCATAATGTGTCCTGCACTCATTGTACACTGTTGCTGTAAGAGTAGGTGGTATCCTCTCTCTATCACTTCCAAAGATATACAATGAAGAAAAACTTATTTTAGGGGAAGTAAACCAAGAAAACAGAAATATGAGTCAATTTTATATAATTCACATTTTCAATTATAAACAACCATCTGTATTTTCCAAACTGTTCAGCAAAATGCTACTTCCCTAGGGATCCTTATCAACAAAGATTACCAATAAAATCATATTAGAGGTGCCATGGTGGTTAAGGAGCTGGATTCCCACATGACCCTCAACAGTTCAAGTCCCAGATCTGGAGACTTGGAAAATCATGCCAGGGGCATGTGCGTGTCTGCCCAAAAATCCATGGAGGAGCCTGGAGGAGAAGGGATCGAGGCGTGACCATTCCCCCCAGGTGGATGATTTCTCACTTTCCCTTTCATTATCTCTCTTTGTCTCTCTGGCGAGTGCACATGCCCTGTGGCAAAAACCTTAAACAAACAAACAACAAAAATCATATTCAAGAAGGGTAAGCAGGGGATATAGAAAGTAAGGTACTGGCTTCCACATGGCTGACTGTACTGTTCAAGTTCTGGACCTGCTGACTTGAAAATCACACCTGGCACATATACACACATGCCTAAAGTCCCAGAGGAGCACAGAGAAAAAGGGACTGCAGTATGGCCATCCTCCGGGGGGGTGGGGGGGTGTCGGTGATTTCTCAGTCTCTCTCTCTCTGGTGCATATACTTATGGCAAAAATTAAGAAAAAAAAAATTGAACAGAGATGGGAACCAGCAGTTAGCATAATGGCTATGTCGCTAGACTCCCACGTAGTCGACCGTGGTTCGCGTCCTGGACCCGGTGGCTTAAAACTCACACTGGGCACATGTGCGTGTGTGCCCAAGATCCCGAGAGGAGAATGGAAGAGAAGGTAAATATTGGGGGGTGATTTCTCGCTTTCTGTCTCTATGTCTCTGTCTGTCTGGCAAGCGCACGCGCCCTATAGCAAAAACCTCTCAAAAAAAAAAAAAAATGAACAGAGAGACAGAAAGAAAATTTAGCCACTAAAAAAATTGGTTTCTAAAGGCAAAAATTGATAAATAGCTATACATAAAAGATTCTCGAACATGCCAGAGATGAAACAACAATTTAGAAAAAGAAGAGCTGAGGGATATTTAACAAAACTTTTTGCATGACGTCTTTAGTAAAAAATAATAATAATACGTGTGTGTGTGTGTGAAGAAATAGGCACACAAAGACCTAGAATCCTTCTGCCCAAAACAAAGGAGATGCCAAATCCACAGCACTAAGCAAATGAAAGCTTGTAACAATAAAGGAAGTCCACCATGTCAACTTTGGTAACATCATTAGCAACGCAGGAGCTGAAATTAGAGTTGGTATCCTGCTCCTAAAACAGAAAAAGCTGTCAAAGTTTTCATGATAAATCTGAGTTAGAAGACAGTCCAGCTATGGAAAAAGATTTTATCCTCTTTTAATAATGGATCCTAACGTAAAACAACCGGCAGAAACAACTGGCACAATCACACAAGAGGAAATTAAATAAAATAATAATTGTATCTAATTGTATCAGATCCTCTACTACTTCTTTCCAAGTATCTTGGCATATGCTTAAAAAGACATTAAAGTCCATCCCCACTATGATGTGTTACTAAGTACCTTATTTAATTCTTCTTTGGTAAGAGATGCCAAAAGGGTCTTCCTGAATTTCCCTTCTTTATATTTCTGAGTTATAAAGTTTTTTCTCTTTTCTACTGGCGAGTCCACATGTAATTCTTCATCCTTTTGAAGATTACCAGCCCAAAAGTCATTCGCTCTTTTGTTTCCAATGACGATGAAAAGCTAAATTGCCAACAAATTATAAAATGTACTGGTTTGTAAAATATATTTGCGCAGAAAATTGGCTCACTTTATAAATTAACACTTAACTTAGTATAAAACACCAGAAAACCCATGGAAGACTCAAATCTTTCAGGAAGATGAAGTGTGAAAGCAGATACTACATCTATTTTTAACATAGCCAAGCTGTTCTAAATAATGGGGGAAAATTAACTTGGAAAGAAACTGCAATTGCTGTACAAGATTGCTATTCTTTGAAACTCATATTGAGATAGATAGGTTTAAAATGCAGAGGCAAAGCATTAACGGGACAAGGAAATGTGGTATTATCTGTTGAAGATAATTTTATAGTTTTATCAACTGGATTAGGGAGAAATGTTCACATGTTGAAATATTCACTTTGTAAGCTAAATAACATGATTGAATGTATAAAAGAAAATGAAATTTTAAAAAATAATAAAGACTGAGCTTATAAAAAAAATTTTTTTAAATAAAAAAAAGTGGCTGAGCAGGTGGGTTAATGCTGTCTAGGGGGAGTGGTAGTGAACAAGGACACAGGAGAAGGAAGTTAGACCCAACCTCAGTTGGTAAGAACATAGTAAATTCTGCCGAATGTTTTCATTTTTCTTCTATTTTTCCCATGCTGGATGAAAAGCAAAGAGTTCTTTTCAAAAAGCTTTTAAAACAGCTGTCAAGATGTTAAAAGTAGTTATTACCATTAAAATTGGTGCTTTTTATTTTTAAAATAACTTTATCTCGCTTAGGAAGCACTTTCAAAGCCACTGCAGGTTGAGCATCTCTCATCCAAAAATCTGAAATCTAAAATGCTCCAAAACCCAAAACTTTGATGTAAAAAATGGAAAATTCCATGCCTGAGCATGCTAAGTCACATTCAAAATGCTGCAATGAAAAAATATTTTATAAAATGACCTCCAAGGTAGGATAGGTGTTATGTGAAAACATAAGTGAATTTCATCTTTAGATTTAGGCCCTATCCCTAAGATACTTCATTACATATATGCAAATATTCCAAAATCTTAAAAAAAAAAAAAAAAAAAAATTAGAAATCCCAAATACGTCTGTTCCTGAATGGTTGGATAAGGGGTTCGCAACCTGCACTATTAGCTCCTAAAGTGATTCATGCTACTCCATGAGTATCTTGTCCCCAGGTCCTGTTAACTACCACCCCACAATGAAACAAAACTTACCTCAATGAGCTCATTGCTCCAAATGCTGGCATCCATTTTGAGACTTCTCACCTTAGAATCTTTTGGTCCCAAAGATCTATGCTGTCCTGAAGTCAAAAAACAACTGCATTTTCATGTGCATGTAAATTTATCTTCTAAAAACAAATATCTTCTCAACACACAGCAATATCTATGTTTTCCTCAATGCCCATAGTGTTAAGAGTAGTGGTAACATTTATGTAAAATCATAACCAACCACTATCAAGATAGCAGTAATTACCTTCATCACCACTCTGAACCCTTATAAATATACACTTTTAAAAGAATATATATATGCAAATATACACATACATATGCATGCATGTACATATGTGTGTACATATGTACGTGCATACATATAATTTTGCTTCATATGGTAATTTAAAATCATAGGCATATGAAAACCTTTTATAATGGTTTTATTTAAATTCCATGTATACATGAATGCTAATTCCTCTATTAAAAAAATCTAGCTACAAATCGAATAAATACGTACTTTAAAATCTGTTGTGGATTCTTTATTCTACTATTGTGCCTGGACAAGAGTGAAAGTGCCCAACATCCTTTTTAACTGCCAATATGTGCATGGGGTCTCCAGAGAGAAAAGAGAGGTATAAACTGTTTTCCTTTATTTCTCCATGCCATAAGCACACCCTCACTTGGCTAGTTTTTCAAGCCACTGGGGCCAGGATTCAAACTGTGGCTGGCCACGTGGAATCTGGCTTTCCACACACAGCACTTAATGGCTTTGCTATTGGGCTGGCCCCCAATAACCTATTATCATCATTTCAATGAGCCATCACTGAGTCGTTACTGAGTACCCAGGCATATACCAGATGCCTTTCAGGCTAAGGAGAGTAAGTATACAAGTATAGAAGATAAGGATCCTTCACCTTATGAGCCAAGTTTTCTTTTCCTACATTAGGTAAGAGGTTACTCCCTTTCTTTCTTGAAACAGAAACTATTCAGAGCACAAAGACAAAATCTTTTGGCAGGAACTTGCATAGGTTTGTATGTCTGAAGTCTACCTAAAGTCAATACTCAAGAGAAAAGAAAAACTAAAAATCTCGTAGGAATGGTGGAAAAGGATTGTTGAAATAGCCTAGGTGAGAAAAAACAGAAACAAGAGAGGGAAGACAGACTTGGAGCCACCGTGAAGATAAAACTCACAGGACTCAGTGATGAGGAAAGGCCAAGACGGCCATCAAGCCTTGGTCTTGAGTGTAGGGTGGACAATGATATTGCTTGTGATTAATATAACCAAGATCAGGAATGTAAAAAAAAGTTGTAGATTTATATACTGAGCTAGGGACGGCAATGAGGGCTTCAATTTTTGCTTGTTATTTCTGAAGTATCTTTGGCAAACTGAAATAGAGATTCGAGTTAGAAGATGATGGTCAAAGTCTGGTGCTCATGAGAGTGCGAATGACATGCTTAAAAACGATTGCTGACTTCAAGTGACACATTACATCACTCAGAAACAATGAGGTGGAAGAGAGCTGCAGAGGAAGCACAGAATGTCACACACACTTTAGCAAGAAAGAGATGGAAAGTAACCTGAAAAAGAACAAAGGGGGTGGGGGAGAGTGGTGTGCTGGGAGGACAGAGAGCTTAGAGGGACATATACTGGTCAAGGTCTCAGTGCTGAGGAAAAGACAGTAAAGATAGGAACTGACCCCACGGAAACTGAGAGCTAAGATATTATGGTCGATGTGATAAAAATACTTCCACTGGAGGAGAGAGAAAAGAAAGCGGAGTACAGAATGCTGAGGAAAGACTAGAAGGAGAAATGATGAAAACCCACACAGACTGCTACTTTTGAAAATACCTGGCCTCTGAAAGGGAAAACATGGTGAGCCCTAGACCAGAAAGTGGCTGGTGTTAGCGAGACAGACGCAAGCAAGTTTATACGCTAAAACAAGAGAAACCACAGTTGAATAGTTACTTAAAAGACTAAGTGACAGAGGATCCTAAGAAGGGGGAAAGCGTGAGGAGAACAGCCTTGGACGGCTCTCTTCCAGTACGACTGGAGAGAAAAAAATAGGAGAGGGATAAACACTCAAAGGTGACTGCTGACATCTGTTGTTGTGACTGATCCTGTTAATTAGCTGGTGAGGAATCTAACACAGTATGATGAGAAGTGTTGCAGAACAGAGCGTGACAAAGCATTCTGGGCATGAAGCAACAGGTGGCATGGTGGGTCCTTGCTGTCTTCGCTCTGGCTAAGTCAGGTGCTCCTCCTCTATATTCCCTCATCGACTTTGCACTCAACTCTAGTCCTGCATCTACCATGCTCTATTGAAATGATATGTATGCAAGTGTGGAGAAAACACCGGGTCTTATGTATCACTTTTTTTTTTTTTTGAGAGGTTTTTGCTATAGGGCGTGTGCTCTCACTAGACAGACAGAGAGAGAGACAGGGAGACAGAAAGCGAGAAATCATCCCCCAGGGGGGATGGCCATGTCACAATGCCTTCTCCTCCATTCCCCTCTTGGGATCTTGGGCATGCACACACATGCGCCCAGCATAAGTTTTAAGCCACCGGGTCCGGGACGCGAACGGCGGCCGACTACATGGAAGTCCAGCGACATAGCCATTATGCTAACTGCTGGTCCCCTTATGTATCATTTTTAATATCTCCAACCAACACCATAGCTGGTATTCTAGGTGTGTGTGTAGGGTGGGACATAGAGGAGAGAATAGGTACTGGAAAATGGAAGTGAGGTTGAGATTGTAGTTAACTTCCTCCAAGACCTCGATGACCACATACCTAAGCTGTTACATGACCAGCTGGTCCCTCTTCTCACCTAACAACTCTGAGCTCCCAGACCCTGAGATCAGATGATCAGGTCACTCAAGAAAACCAGACATAGTACCAGTGGATTGTCATAAATACCAATGCTCTTGTGAGATGTTTCTACTAGAATTTCCTATTCTAAGATCTCGGATCTGATATACTAAGTTAAGATCTCAGAGCAGCCCTGATGTGAAACACATCTCACAAAAACATGACTGGGAAAAATGGGCAAACCTCCACATAAAAATGCAAGCTTGTTCAGGGTGCTCTCTGAAACACACACACACACTTAAAAAATCCCCAAATGTCGACATTGTCTTTTTAAAATCCATAGCCTCGTAGGCACAAATAGGATTACATGCTAAAATCGATTTTGACAGCCACGTCATGCAAAGGAGACATTTAGAATTATATTTCTGAATTTGATTTCAGTGGGATTAGTCTGATTTTACTTTTCACAACCATTAGCTAAGACACATGACGACAAAGAACATTTTAGTGCTGATCTGCCACAGAGCGGTGATGAGCACGATGCATCGTGAATTACCTGCACACTTCTTACAGATGACAACACAGAGATTGATAGATGCCCAGTCGGGATCCGGGGCTTTACAATCTGCACAGCTCCTGTTAGACTCGTTGAACCAAATCTTCTCAGCTACTTCGTAGTCAGAGAGGGTTTCTGCTATCGACTGCTGCACAGCTTCAATCCAGTCTTGTTTCTCTTTCTCAGACTCGGCTGTAAAGCTGCAACAACGAACGTTTCAGCGTTATCGATTGCCCTTGTAAAGGCCAATTAAGCAGTGTGTTCAATGTGCATATTCATTTCACTCTCAAATTAAACAGCAGCTGACAAGTCTACCCTCCGGACAGTTTTGGATGGCCTTTTCAGTTAAAAATCATCTAATTTCACAATTGTTTTTCTTGTCTTTAAATTTCCCCATGGCTTAGGACTTTTGTTTGTAGATCTTAAATCCAAATGAACACACACATTTTTCTAACCACGATATAAAAATCGCCTTGTTAGGTCAAAAAAGCTACAATGAGAGATCATGGCTATAATATTCAATACGAGACTGGCAGAATTTCAGGACTACTGGGATATTTTGCCAAGCAGGTATGTCATGAGAGTCTGAAACTAAATTTTCAAAAACACCCACCTGAAATGATGTCCCCCCCCAGACTTAAAAATAGATTCACTTTTTAATTAGAAGCCTGTCCAGATGGCTTCAAAAAACTGAGAAATCAAAAAAAGTTCTAACTGGTTTTACTATTCTAACAGTACTGACTCATTTTTAACCATGTTCTGGGTTATTCTGATTCTTGGTGCTACTGGTACTTGAGTGTAGACATAAAACATTAAATACCACCAGTTCACTCCTTCAAGAAATACGACCTGAGGGCCGGGCACTGGTGTAGTGCTAACTGCAAAGCCAAGAGGCTGATCCAGATGGGAAGGTCCCAGGTTTGCACCCACACACTTCCCTGAGTGCGCCATGCACCTGTGGGCCACAATATGGGGCTAGCCGAAGACGGAAAAAGATCACAACACTAAGGCTCTGAGGTGGATGCTGTCTCTCTGTAACTCTCACTTTCTGTCTCTTTTGCTCACGAAGGAAATAAAATAAAGGGTCATTGGAAAACTCATGACATACTTTTCTATGCAAAAATGCATCATGACTTTTCCAACAACCCAATAAATAAAGGAAAAAAGAGAAAAAAAAATGAGTATCTATGACGTGCCAGAGAAGGTGTTATGGTGCTCTGTACTCAGTTGACCATGACTCACTAAATGATGCTTCACGTTAAAATGCTCTGTTCTAAAGTTGAAAATGCTCTGAACTATAATGAACACAGTAGATGGTTAACATGCTCTAAATAATCCTTAATGAGAGTAAGTAGTCTACACAGATGATACTTTGAGGCATCTTTTAATTCCAGCACTGCTATGATAACGATAACGTTAGTGGTTTTGAGTTCTATTAGATGTCAGTTACAGCCAATACCTGCATTTCAGTTTCTGCACATGATGAAAACAAAGCTTGGTACTCTTAATGTATTATTTCTTTCTCAGAATTTCAGCCAGTGGAAATATGTTGACAGATAAAATAAGTAACAGACAAGGTAGCATCTTTGAAATTGCTAAGTAACTGCCAGTCCTTCAAAGGCCTAGAAAAAATAGCCTCTAACATGTACAGTATCCTGGGGTCTGTTGATTATATATGTCAAATGAATACAGTTGAACTCAACAGACACTGACTAGTCACTTATTCTGTACACAAAAGAGTCACTGTGGGACCAGCAGTTGGTGTAATGACTCTGTCGCTGGATCCCCATGTAGTAGACCACGATTTGAGTCCCCGACCTGGTGGCGTAAACTCACACTGGGTGCATGTGCATATGTGCCCAAGATTCCGAGAGGAGAATGGAGAAGAAGGGATAATGGCATGGCCATCCCCCTTGGGGGGTGATTTCTTGCTTTCTGTCTCTCTGTCTCTCTCTGTCCTTCTGGCAAATGCATCCACCCTATAGCAAAAGACTCTCCAAAAAAAAAAAAAAAAAAGAGTCACTGTAAAATACCTGCTATGCTGTAATAAATTCTGCTTCATTGTAGTAATGACACAGTTAATAGAATACCATAATACAAGATAGGTAGCAAAATGCTAAAATCTGTGGATCAGTAAGTATTGCAAAAGCCATTAAATTCCTTATTTTAAGCTGGAGTGCATGAGGAAATCAAATGAAGCAATTGTAATTGCTACAGAAAAATCTTTTTTTTTTTTCTTTTTTAGAGAGATTTTTGCTAAAGGGCACATGTGCTCTCCAGAAAGCTAGAAAGAAACACACAGAAGCAAGAAATCACTCTCCAGGGGGGATGGCCATGCCATAATCCCTTCTCTTTCATTCTCCTCTCAGGATTTTGGGCATGCACACACACCTGGCGTGAGTTTTCAGGATTCGAACCACGGTCAACTGTAAGGGAGTCCAGTGACGTAACCATTACACTATCTGCTGGTCCCAGGGCATAATCTTAAAGGAATGATTGTATTTGATTAAGCTATAAAAAGGTAAATAAGAATACAAAGACAGTGTACTATGCTCATTTTATTCCTTCTAAATATAAAGAAACTTGCCACTCGTTGTTAATAAAATAATTAACATATTCACCTAACTTACGAAGAAAATGAGGTATTAAGAAAAGAAACCACTGCAATTTCATGAAGAAGCTTCTTTGTGTGAGACTATCTGAGTCACTTTTACAAAGTGTTTTTACATGCTAGCTAATAAATTAAACAATGTGAGAAAGAAAATTTTAAGTGTCCTCTAAGAGATAAAAATCACCACTAGCAATACGAAGGTGCAGCATCAACCATGCCTTCCTATAGCAGAACACACAAGCGCTGTTTAAAAATAGCTTACCTGAGGGACCAGCAGTTAGCCTAATGGCTATGTCGCTGGACTCCCATGTAGTCAACCGCGGTTTGAGTCCTGGACCCAGTGGCTTAAACTCATGCTGGGAGTTTGTGTGTGTGTGCCCAAGATCCTGAGAGGAGACTGGAGGAGAAGGGATTGTGGCGTTGGCCATCCCCCACGGGGGGGGGTGATTTTTTGCTTTCTGTCTCTCTCTATCTGTCTGGCGAGTGCACGCGCCTTATAGCAAAAAGCTCTCCAAAAAAAGAAAAAAAACAAATAGCTTACCTGAAACTCCTGTAGGGAGTGATGATTTCAAAAGACTGTTTCACAGTTCGGTCCACTTGCTTTACATTTGCTACATTCATAGGGATTATGGTAATGCCAAGACCGCTCTTAAAATCCTGGTTTGAAGAAAAACAAAAAACTATAAAGAAACAAACAAAAATAAAAGGTTTTGAAAGCACAATCGTATTTCCTAAAAGTCAAAAAAATCCTACCGAACTTTACTGAGTACATGAAATTCATTCATTCCAAAATGGATTTAGAGTGGCTTTCTCATCACAAGTAGTCACTCAATACAGGCTTCCACTGTGCCATTCTAAGCGTGACTGTTGGGCTGTTGATAAAATAGGGGTTTCTTTCACATGAAAGACAAATTGACAAGACCAGAGATAATGACCTGGGCACGCCCTGCTTCTGAAAGTAGGCATTCTATGCACCTTTATTCAGTCAATAAAGGAAACTAACAGGTAACCAACACGTACCATGTATCAAGCAGTTTTCTGGATGTAGGAGCCAAATGACACCGTCAGGTTAGCATAATCAATGTTTATATAAAAAGCTGAGGATGGGTCCAGCCAGCATCTGACATGGTAGTTAAGGGGCTGGACTCCCAGAGAGCTGACTACAATTCGAGTCCTGGACCCAGTGGCTTGAAAATCACTCCAGGTTCTTATGCATGTATGCTCAAAATCTGAAGAGGAAAATGGAGGAGGGATTGTGGCACGAGGGTTGATTTCTAGCTTTCCCTTTCTGGGTTTCTCTCTCTAGCTAGTGCACATGCCCTATGGCAAAATACCTTTTAAAAAATAATTTTAGTTGAAAAAAAAAAAAAAGCAGGCTGAGGAAGGCAAGGGTCCAAGAGGTAAGTTTACATGAGAAGCGTATATACTTGGACATGGTAGACGGGACTGGAAGCCCACGCTATCTGTTCTGGTTTACAAAGTACCTTTGCTGTCACATTGTTTTTCTCCTCATTTATTCTCAAAATAAGCAATACCTGTTTTATGAAGTACATAATTTTCCTTACTTTCCGGTGTTTTATGGTCCTCTTCCTTCAATCTGATTCTGAGAAAGCACCTCTAATGCTATTCTGGTATGAAAATTGCCATTTGTGCTCATCTCTAGCCACAGTGTTGAGGTTTTCTCACAAAACTTAGAAACTTCCAAAGACTAGAAAGGCAACATTTGAAAAGTACTGAAGTTTTCAATATGCTATCTACTCATACGTCTCTTAGAATTAATCAAATAATGGGGCCAGCAGATGGTGTAATGGTTACGTAGCTGGACTTCCGCCTAGTTGACCACAGTTTGAGTCCCAGGCTTGGTGGCTTAAAACTCACACCGGGCACATGTGCATGGGTGCCCAAAGTTCCAAGAAGAGAGTGGGGGCAAAGGGATTGTGCATGGCCATCCCCCCTGGGAAGGTGCTTCTCTCTATCTGTCTCTATCTCTCTGTCTCTCTATCTGTCTCTGGTAAGTGCATGCACCCTATAGCAAAAATCTCTTTAAAAATAATTTATCAAATAACTAAACTCAACACATTACAAAATATAATCTGTACCTCAAAAAAGGCATCATCTAAGTGAACAGACTCAGATAAAATATGCTCTGAATTCCTACACTGAATTATGACGAGGAAAAAGAGCTGTACTAAAGACAAAACAGAAAAAATACTGATCTATTTTCAATAAGGACACTTGACAGAGACCATAAAAGCAGCAATTCACAGACCTCCTTTTCTCTCCTGTAATACAGGCTAAACGTAACATTATTATTTTTTCCATCTCCCTTACACACAACAGTGGTCATATATGTCATAGTTTTGATCAATAAAATATAACTAACTCCTGGCAGGGGAAGAAGAGAGCAGACGAAAGCCTTTCACGCTCTTTCTTCCTCCTTGGAAATAATATCTAGAAGGACTGAAGCCAGTTGACAACTTCAGAATTTTGAGATGAGACGAAGCTTAAGGATAAATTATTATGCTCTAAGGATGCCAAAGTGAGGGAAAATATAGGAAGAACCCAGTGCCATGGTAACATCAACTCTCCACTTCTACACCAAGAGATTTGTAAAATCAAATCCCTGTCTATTCAAAATATCCTCATGCTTTTGCCAATTACTAGTAATGCACTCGTGGGACCAGCAGGTAGCAAAATGGCCATTTAGCTGGACTCCCATGTAGCTGACCACGCTTCGAGTCCCGGACCCGGTGGCTTAAACTCACGCCAGGTGCATGTGCGTGCATGCCCAAAATCCCGAAAGGAGAATGGAAAAGGGATTACAGCGTGGCCATCCACCCAGGGGAGTGATTTATGGCTGTCTGTCTGCCTGTCTCTCTCTCTCTCTGGCAAATGCATGTGCCCTATAGCAAAAAACCTCTCCAAAAAAAAAATTAATGCACTCCTAACTAATAAAATAAGGATATAAAATACCTTTACAGTAAATACACACTTTTAAGTGTATCCAGTTACCCAGTCACTCATTGTGGAAAAACCTCTCATATATATATATATATATATATATATATATGAATATATTTTAATGTACAGGTTTCTGTTAGGATAAGATGACTCATTTAGAAAAAAAATAATAATCAATTGAATAGAAATTTTTTTCCTGAAGAATGTACAACTGTCTCCTTTTGTTTGGAGAAATAAGGCATAAATTAGAAATCAGGAATATGGAAAAAAGGCAGAAAAATGCTGAGTGTTCTAAAATAATTAGAACCAAAGCAATATACAGATATTCCTTGAACAGTGGGATCACAAGCCCATCCTAAGATAAAAATACTGAGTCGAAAATCCACTTAACACTCCTAGCCTACCTAAAATCATAGCTTAGCCAAGCACACATGCTCAAAATACTTACGTGAGCCTGGAGTTGGGCAAAAACAGGTAACACAGCTTCGTTTACAATAAAGGATTGGGTAGCTTATGTAACTTATTGAATACTGTACTCAAAGTGGAAACAATACATCTACAGGTACTTGAAGTACTGCTTCTACTGACTACGTCACACCATCTCGGAGCCGATAAATCGCAGATTGACCCCTTGTAAATGAAGGACCAGCCGTTCTTCCATTATCACACTGTCAGCCCAGTTCATGAAAAGTAATTGTCAATATGATCTATGTGGCAAGAAGAAATATTGAGCTTTTTCTAATCTGTCACATTTTTAGTAAGTTTCAGCTTGTATTTACTTATTAAATTGAAAAAAAAAAAAAAAAGAAGCCCAATTATCTATACCAATGCTCCTGCTGGATAAGTAATTGCAAGATAAATCCCCAATGCCCATGACTCAAGCTCTCTTTTCTAAATAAGGAAATAAAGTGGGAGATGCCAAATGAGAATTTTTTCTTGTTTTAAAAGGGAGAGACTTTTGTGATAGGGCATGTGCACTTGCTGGAGAGACAGAGAGAAATTGAAAAACAAAAGGCTAGAAATCACCCCCCAGGGGGGATGGCCACGCCATCTCCTCCCTTCTCTTGGGATTTTGGGGCATGCACACACGTGCACCCAGCATGAGTTTCAAGCCACCAGATCCAGGATTCAAACCACAGTAGAATATGTGGGACTCCAGCGACATAACCACTATGCCATTGGTTGGTCCCGAAGATGAGAAATTTTAAAAACACCTTTTGGATGGCTCACTTTAATACAGGGATAAACTCTAGAATAAAATACTCAGACTGACTGTTCTTTAAACAATTCTCCACAGTGCGGCTTTTGACAAGGGACAGTTGCCAATACCACTCCAGGCTATATGTCCTGAGGAGGCCCCACCTGAAGGTTCCAGCTGTTACTGAGGGAACAGGCCCACGTGTTTTGGCCCATGGATGGTACAAATAATCTTTCCTGAGAACCGATGAAGTTTCTGCCACAACAGGAGGTTCCTCTCCTCCACTAACCGCCAGGAAAAGCCTGTGTGTAAAAGCTGTAACGTCCGTGAAAATAAGCCAGGACCAGCTCAACGCCCCAAATTCCAATTTCTCCCAAACAAGAAAAGCAAAGATGGCTTCTTTTTTTTCAGCCTGGGAAATCGTAACCCATTTGTCAGCTGCCTGCCATGGCCATATGGTTTAGAGTAATTAGAGTATCCACAGAACGCACCAGCACAAATCAACTGTAAAATACACAGCAGTATAACCAGATAAATGTCAGTGCTCTCGACAGCTATTAAGTGGGAAATAACTGCGCAATAGTCCAAATACTACTGGTGACGTAACGCTCTTTTCCCAGACAGTATTTGGAACATATTGAGGGTAGTTCCTATTCTTCGATGTTCATCAGACTTACGTGGGGTCCTCTGTTCCTTTCTCCCTGAGATTCTAATTCTGTGACTCTGAAGACGTCACCTAAGAATCTTTCATTTACAAAAAGACAACGAAAAGAAAGCCTGTGATTCTCATGTAAGAGGTCTTCAAAAAGGTCACAGGCAACGACATTACAAACAAAACACGCTATGTATGGATTTCCAAACGTTGTGTAACAAAATGAACCAGTGCTTTAATTCCACTTGTTCACAAACTTTTGGAGGGGTCCCCTCACATGTGACCAATACTCAGAAAGACTGAATTAGGTAACAGAACCACTTGCAGAATACAGACAGTACGAGTCTGCAGTGTTTAAACAGCAGGACATAAACATTTCTCTCTGCCTTCTGTAAAAGTTTACAAAGCATGCAATCAGAATATACAAAATCCTCCTGAAACCATGAAGAATATTGGATAAAAATAAGTAGGCCAGGGCCAGCAGGGGGTCTGGTGGTTGAGGCGCTAGATCCCAAATGGCCCCTTGCGTGATTTGAGTCCCAGAACCAATGGCTTGAGACGTGTGGGGTGTGTGTGTGTGTGTGCCCGAAATCCTGAGAGGAGAATGGAGGAGAGGGGATCGTGTCATGGCCACCCCCCTAAGAGGTGATTTCTTACTTTTCCTGTCTCTCAGTTTCTCTCTGCCTCTCTCTAGTGAGCACATACACCCTATAGAAAATAAAAAGGGAAAAAATAAGAAGACAGGTTAGACTGTAGGGCTGTCAAGATCCTCCTTGTCCTTGGTGGCAACTCCTATACACATGTACAGAGGTTTAAAACCATCTCTCTTCATTCGGTCTACACAGT